ATTAATTTAATGTAAAATAAAGTCGTTATGGAAGTGTTAAGTTATGCCTGTACTGTCTTGTGACCAAAATGTTTTTCGCATTCAAAAATGTGTAAAACGCCGGCGAAAAGGAGCTACGTGCAAGATCAGGGTAGAGATATGTAGGAATGCGGGGGATTTGCAAATAAGAGATGTTTCGAGCTGAATGGTGGACATTCTGATTAGACAACTGGTACAGCATCGTCGGAGAATCCTACATCCACATCGAACATGTTAAACGAATGTGTGAGAAGAAAATATCGCTTCATAATGGACAAAATATATTAAAAGATGTTTGATTTAGCTGCTGTTATGCAACTTACGTTAATACTTTTCAAATTTTCTCATGTTTTTGGTTACGTGGGTTGCCAGTCAGGCTCAATTTATCATGAATCTAGTCCCGTTAAAAACCAAGGGATCCTTTATTTTTTCTTAGCTGTTATATCACCGTTTACTGACAAAGTAATTGACTGATAAGTATTTTTTTTTCTTGAAATAACAATGCCTTGTCCACGCACAGGTACGTCACGTAAAAAAAAAAGAAAATCAACTAAAAGAATTTTGTCTCAGATTTCCGTGCCGCTGCTAACATGCAAAGAAATGCATGTATGGCGAGGAGGAGAATTGATATCGAGATCTTGGCAGAGAAGGATTAGAAAAAGACAGCATAAGGAAATTGTACAGCGAAAATTTAACCCTCGGCACAAGGCAATCGGTTTCATAGGAAATTTATTTTTGCCAAGTTAAAACTAGAGTACCACTATCCGATCACGTGCATGTGAAAAACCAGGTAACGATTGTTTTGTCACGGGGTAAAGGCAGTGAAGACACGCCCTATGCAGTCTGTTGTCGAAAATCCTCCATGTGTGCATCTATGCACGAAGCGTTAGTCTAATGACCTTCTATTCCCAGGGGAGGTTTTTAGCTTAGCGGGGCCTTGTTTACGAGTTGATTCCCGCTGAAAACGCTTGACACACGACCAGCAATAGTTCGTAAAGGAGCAGAGAGTCGTCCAGATTTTATTTTCATTATTCATCTTTTTTTAAACAATGATTTAATTATTTTCTCGGCAGAACTAAGATCGTTTAGTTCCACTCCCTTCTTACGCCCCCTCTGACGCCCCCACATTCATAGGGTCAGCGGTCATTTATCTTTAAGAGCACGCTTCTGGTCAATGTTTGTTTTGAGTTGTGTTTGTAGTCATGGCTGAAGAAATACAGATCTTCGCGTACAAGTATTGCTTGTCCTCTATGGCTGCGACTGTGGCAGAAACAGGTAACATCGTAATTATTATTTTTCAGGCTAAACTGAAGGGAAAAAGGTAGTTTTTTTGGCGTAAAGTTCTTGTCAGATGGTACGATTTGAGTACTAGACGGTCGTGAAGTGACTCACGTGAAATGTAATCGATAGCCAAACCAATTGGATATTTTATAGAGTGACAGTGATATGGGTAAACTTTTATCACTCTTGGACTTTGCATTACATTATTTCATGGCTATATTTATGAGAAGGTTGATAGCATAAGAGATGGCATATATAAAGATGGAAGCATATATTTTAATGCTTTCAACGTGTATCGTAACATTTGCATTTCAGTCTCCTTTTTTATACAATTCACACTTTTCCGGCTTTGGGGTATTTTTACAGTATCTCATTTCTTTTCGATCAGTAAGGATAAAAGATAGACTAAAACTATTTATGGAGAACATTTTTTTGACGCGAAACCTCCTCGTAGACCAGCTGAATTGTACAACCTGTCAATAAAATCGGACTTTGAACGTCTCGGTCAAAGTTGAGAACATAGTATCATGACTTAGCTTTTTAAATTTTCCTCTTCCGATCTGAACGACGTATTTTATCTTTTGATACAGATTCCTTTAAAATAAAGGCTAACTTTGGTTGAACAATGGTTTACGGTGTAAATGATTAACAAAGGAAAATCGAATTAGCCCGACATGGATTACAAAATAGATCGCCAAAATAATATATGATCAAAGCTAAATTTAGCGCTGAAATTCAAAGCTTTACTTTATCTATCATTAAGTAAAAAGCTATTGAAAAATTTTAGCCATATGGCATAGATTCCCAAGCTTGTCAAAGTGAAGGATTGAAAGAATTAAACAAGTTAGATTATCTCACCTTGGGACCTTTTCACTATTGAAATTATGACAATGAAAACTTTTGATGACGTTGGTTACTTTTGATCTAGATAAAAGAAAAAAATGTTTGAAAATAGCCAGCTGAACTCAGCAGCATGGCAGATATATTTTGTACTGTTAGTGGTACTCTTTAATTAAAAATACCACATACCACCATCAGAGGTTATTTGTCAGAAATTTTCATTGAAATAATTAGACATTTTTGACACTCTTGATCCTGAAAGCTGTAAGAGTGATCAGAATCAAATTTCTCCTCAGGATATCTGCACATTATCAACAGTTGAGTTTGCAGGAATAAGAGAAAGATCCTCTCAAGGACACTTATCTCCAAAGAAAAATTTCTTTGACTTGTATAATTCATTGTTAAGGTTGTTTGTGTTTAAAAAAAAAAAATCTATGTTGACCTCTCAGATGAATTTATATGTTGACTGTGGTGATAAAAAAAGGGTTTAAAAAAATTTTGAAATTGCTTGGGAGACCTTCCAAAATGATAATTTTAGTAAATAAGAAATCTCAGACTTTGGATCTAGAGAGAGTAGCTAGATAGCAGGTGTTAATATGTACTTAGCCAGTGGTTCTGTTCCTGCCTCCAGATGTTACAACAACACTTTTTGTTTATATTTAACTCTTTCACCCCCAGAGGCGATTAACAAGTAACTTCTCCCTATAATATCCATACATTGTTCAGCAAACTGGCGATGAGAATACTCAAAGGTAGCAGGTAGAAGTTGCTACCTTGTTCTACCACCAAATTCTCGTGACTTATTTACCAGGAAACCTGTAGCAGCTATAGAGGGGAGAATTGAAAATAAGATCTCGGAAGTTAAAGGTTTAACTTATTATTTTTTTAATTCAAGTGACCTTTCCACTGGACATAACAAAAACCAGACTTCAAATCCAAGGAGAGAGAGCATCAACCATTCCCTCCACCACAGCTGCTAATGTGCCTTACCGGGGTATGGTGAGGACAGCAGTGGGCATAGGTGAGGAATTTGGACCTGCTTAAGAGTGGAACCTTAATTTGAAGGACACTGTGATGGAACTAGATAAAGTATCCACTAGCTAATAATCTCAAACAGTCGATATCCTTTTCTTTGATATTGACTTTAGTTATGCCAGTTTTGTGAGTCTAGGCCAGATTGTTCAAAGCTGGGTTAAGATAACTCAGGATTAGCATGAAATCTGATTTCATATCTGAAAGCTTTAAAAGAAAATTCAGTACAGTTCTTTTAGACCACAATTTTATGATTGGATGCCCTAAAAAGAATAGAGGAAAATTAACCAAAAAGGGCTTTGGTCAAAAGAATAAAGATTAAACCCCAATTAGAATTTAACCCTGGGGTACTAGCACTAATCAATCTTCAAACAACTTGGGCCTAGGAGACCAATGTATTAGCTGGATAAAAGTTATTATTACACGACTCGGGAATTCAGAGGGCCAATAACTAAAATCAACCAATCAAAATGCCCTTATTGCCAGTCAATATTCTCTCAGTATTGGACCGGGCACTGTCCCGAATGGTCCTGAATGATACCGCACTTGTGTCCCTTTGAACTTCAGTTGTGTAATAAATCTCTTATTAACCAAGCTTGCTTGGGACCGTACTGGAAGAATATTGGCCCTCTGTCTTTTTTGTACAGACCAAGCACAACTCGGTCCGTACTGTCAAGACCTCGGGCCAGTATTCTCCCAGTATGGCCCCTCGAGCTTGGTTAATAAGATATATTCACTAATTGATACTGATTTCATTTGTGAACTGACTCACAGTGCTGCTGGGCATGGGGTGTACAAATTACATTTTCTATGACCTCTTTTTCTTCATTGCATAGATTGAGTTCTCAATGCAGTGCCTTTTATTTGTATCCATGGCATCTGTCTTATCAGGCATTGTTTTTTATGACTTTTGAATAAATCTTTGTTGCACAGTTACTCCTTTCCTGCTTAAACATTTTGTTACAGAGTTGTGCCTACAGAGATGTTGAGAGATGTTGTTAGGATTTGTTCCCAAATTTTCTTTTCCTAGCATTTTATGATATTTTTGTCTGAAATATGTGTTAGGTGCCATCATAGTTAATGTTTTTGCCTGTTTCTTTTTGTGTTTCTAATTAACATGCACTCTAGTTGAAGAAGAAGGATTAAGAAATCTGTGGAATGGTGTCACCCCAGCCATTTTAAGACATATTGGTAAGTTGTATCACTGGAATACCCACATCCCTGCATTGTCCTCCTGGGGGAGGGGGTTGGGAAGATTTTCTGCACTCACCGTGAGGGTAGTTTAGGAGGTAGGAGTGTCTTTTAAGTATTTTGGGAGTTTTTAGGAGGCTTAAAAAAAAGTGAAAGTGTTTTGAAATAGAGTTCAAAAAGCATAAGTGATAAACAGCTCCCCGCCCATCATTTTCCTTGGCAAACTTCCACATTAAGTAGTTTTTTATGCTTTGCTATCATTTTTGCTATAGTGCAATGAATTTATCTGTTATTACCGGTACAATGCCGGATTATTTTTTAGATTAAGGTTGTGAACCTTTTTATTTTCAAGATTGCAAACTTATAATTTTGTTCTTTTTAAACATTTGACAGTTTACACTGGGTCAAGAATGACAGCGTATGAATTCTTGAGAAATAAAGTGTTGAAAAGAAATCCAGATGGAAGATTTCCATTATGGCTAGTATCTAAGTCATCCTATTTTTACTTCTTCATCTTCTTAATTCAAGTTAAAAAAAAGACCAACAGTAACGTAAATATGTTATTTGAGAGCTGAAATTCAAGATGATATTAAAAAATATTATTAGATAAAACACTGAATATTGTTTGATCTGAAATCATTTTCACCATACCCAGGAAATCAGTGATTGCCGGGATGAGCGCGGGTGCATTTGGACAGTTTATAGCCAGCCCAACTGATCTTGTTAAAGTTCAAATGCAGATGGAAGGAAAACGAGTTATTTTGGAGGGACGTCAACCAAGGTATGCTCCATTAAATGGTTATTTTTGTCGGCCTCTAACTTGTGCTTGCCAATCTTATTGCATCCGGCTAAACAGAGCAGACCACCCTGAGCGACATAACTGATAACAAAATTACAATCGAGATCGCAATATTTTGGCATTGCTTCATTGCATTGCCAATAACCGAAAGACTATTAGTGATAACGTTAACCTCAAGTGTCCAGCCGAAACGGCAGCGACTGCATTTAACATTTAGCGCTCCTCTAACTAATAACAGTACATCTCAAGGAAACGGTCTGGCTATGGTGACATCTTGACGATTACGGATCTCACGATAACACTGGACAATCACGCAACGAAGATGACGCAGGCGCCAACGGCTTTAAGGTTTCAATATGTAAGAGTCCAATTTTCCAATGACAAATCTCTTATCTAAATTTTATTTACTCAGGGTACGAAACACCTTACATGCTTTTTCAAACATTGTTCATAAACATGGAGTTCGAGGACTCTGGAAAGGTTGGGCTCCCAATGTTCAGAGGGCAGCCTTGGTCAACATGGGAGGTGTGTGATTTTAATTATATTATTCATATCCTTTCGATTCGATAAAGAACGTTTGAAGCTCTTTTTTTCCATTGTCTTAATTTTGGTACTTAATTCAGGCCCCAACCACCCTACTGCATTTTTCATTTGAAAACACAGTTTCAGTTTGATGCGTTTTTGTCTAGATCGTCCACAGTAAAACAGGTGAAACCCAGATGGAAGGGGCAGCACATGTCTGTGACCCAATTTTTCGAGAAAGTCCACATAAGAAACGACGCTGATAAATAACGATGCGTTTCAAAATCACTGCGTTTTCTTGTGTGTTTCGTGCGGTTGTGTGCGTTTTCGTGCGTTTCGTGAGTTTTCGTGTTCGCTTTACTTATGCTTCACTTCGCTCTGTGATTGGTCCTTAAAACTCGCGCCTCTCTCTCAACCAATCAGATGCAAAAATACAACCAATCAAGGCTTGTCACCCTCGTTTTCCCGCGCGACAGTCAATTGAGAAGTGCTAAATAGTTACGTAAAAAAGATGGCAAATTTTGATTCGTTGTTTT